AACTAAAGTATACACCTAAAATGGTCATTCTTTTACTGCGCAGGCCATAGAAAACCAGCAAAACGTAGGTTCCTGAGGGGAGGGGGGGGGTAGCATATATATATATATCTGTATATAGGAGAATATAGGGGTAATTAATGGAAAAGGAAATGGAAAGCTAATACTTAGGGCTTCATCTCGAAAGCAGGGCTTGCTGCTGTAGAGGTTCTCAAATTGGTAGGCGCAGGACATGGGAACATTGCTGAGGTCCCGTCAGGGTTCAGGGCGTATAGGCTTTAACTCCATTGCGCAAGCTGGCTTGAATAGTGAGAAATGTTATCCACCCACTATCCTAAAACAACAAGAGTTAACAAAAGGTTCCAAAATCATGTTCAAACTCTTGAGGCACATTATCGACTCCAAAGCCCTAAACCAGTAATCTCCAAATTCGGGACATCTTTCCCCATAATGGAGAACCAAATGGAAAAGAACATGAAAAATGAAATGGAAACTACTGCATACAGGGTTTGAGGATATAACCCCCCTAATGGAGACTCAAATGGAAAAGCAAAAGAGAACGAAATGGACAGTGGTTCATAGGCCAGGCCTCCGCCGTGTATCCGTTCCACGGCAGCCAGGCAGCCCATGGCGAAGACAGGTATTCGGCCTGGTTGGATTCGAAGAATACCCTAAACACTAAACCCAAATTGAAACCTTGAACCCTGAAACGCCAAACCCTAAACCCTAAATCCGGTTGACATGTGGGCTCGGAAGTAATTGGGTGCTCTACGCACATGACGTCAAGGCCGCTTCAGAAGCCAGTAGTAGCATGAAGGCTTTGCCTTGTGGCTCCATGAGTTTTTGGACTTCCAGAGCCACCGGAAAGCTGAACGTGTTAAGTTCTGGAGGGAAGGTCATGGAAGGTCCAGGAGGAACGGGCTTTTGGAAGTCCTTCCCCCAAATCTCAAACATGCATCCAAAATGAAGTGGCTAAGTGTCGATTTGGGCCTCGTTTGGAAGATGAATTCTCAGGCCCAAAGCCCTGACATCCCTGGCAAAGCCGTCGCGAGCTCTCCTGATCCAAGCCTGAAAACCCTTACGTCCTGGACCAGGGTCCATCATTCCCTACTAGTCTCTAGACGCATTCCTAGAAATTTCTCCACGCTCTGTCTGGCAACCCACCTCACAGGAAGCCCACATCAGAACGAAAAGAGAGATCATGTGCTGCCGAGGCGCTGAGTGGCCAGGCCCTCGCGGTCCAGTAGGCCCAGTTGTAGTTGTCGACCCAAGAAAGGCCGATCAAGACCTCAGGACTTAGGCTTGGGAATTCAGGAATTGACTCAGACTTGGTAGTGTCCAGAAAGGAAGGATCCAAACGAATCGTTGGAGAGGCGTGGAGATTTCTTGTAAGTGCACGGACTCTCAGGTCACATTCCAGACTGTCTTAGCCAGTTACACTGCCCAGCAAGGTTGAGTTTGGTAGCAAATACTCACAGGGGACGAACGGCGCGAAGCATTGGCTAAGAGAGGACGGCACGCATGCTGATTTCACACGCCTGGATGTTACAGAATCATGCCTCTGCACCGGTTCCCTGGCCCGCTCCTTCTTGTACGTCCACCTCATCGCAAAAGAAGCGCTGCCTTCTGAGGGACTTTGCAGGCGAGCGGCCAGGGACATGAAAGTCAGAGCCTGAAGCCAAAAAAGCAAATGTACCATCAGCCGCCGCCGCTGGACGTTCTGCAGCCATGCGAGCATGCTGGGGAAGACAATGTAGAACACAGCCATAGTTTGCACCTGAAAGGCTGCCGCAGACTGAAATCTCTGAGCATTAAATCCCTCCCTCAGCGTCACCAAAGTCTAGGTTGCCTAAGTCATTGGGCAGCAGCTCAGCTGCAGCCCTGACAAACTCTAAGACTCGCACCGTCCATGTGACGAAGTTGCTGGGCAGCTCGATCTGCGAGCCATTGGGGAGCCACACCTTCAGGCGCAGCTTCTCAAATTCGACGATAACATAACACAAGTGTGTCGTGAACACTGCACAACTTAGAGACGCTTAGGGGGGATGTAAAAGCTAAGTGTCCTGAAGTTGTGAACGCAGTGCCAGCAATTACAGCCCCCCAGGATGGCAAAGAAGAACTTGCCCACAAATAACTTTAGCGAGATATCACCAGGTTTGCCAACCCCCACTACTTTGGAGCCCCTAATCTCGCGATGTGACCAAGGCGCATCGACAGGGTAGAACCACCTGGCTTTGGATGTCAACTCTCAACAGTCTTGTGGACGCATAAAGATTGGGAAACAAAAGCGTCTCACGGTTTTGAAGCAAGCCACATATTGAGGCCCAAGACTGTGAGAACCAGATTGTAGTCCCAGTACGGCGAGGACAGAAATGCCATCGATCCACCACCCTGAGTCATGGATGGCTTCCGCAGAGATATCCCAAGCGGAATCAGCAAGGATGGCAGCAGCTAGCGACATTCAGGCGTTGCACAGCGGCAACTCCGACACACTAGCTGCGCGGTACTCATCTTGTTCTGGTCTTGGCGACGCGGTGGCGGTCGTACTATCATTATTTCTAATATTTTTACTATGGCTACTACTATCGTATTGCTATTACTACTATGACTACTACTATTACTATTTCCTATTGAAAGGCCTGCCTTGATGAAGCAGCGCATCATCATAAAGTACAGCGCGTTGGTCAGCATGTACATTGGGAAGAGCCTGCCATATTGCCATATTGTACTACTATACCATATCACCATTGTGTTACCATATTACCATTATATTACTATATAAACATATTACCATGGTTACTGCATTGCCACATTACTTTATTACCATACTGCTTACTACAAGCTGTTCCGCTGCGGCCCTGAGCTCATGGCCTGCAATGCCCTGGAGCCTAAGACACATAATGTCTTAGGACCCCAGAAAAATACGGCTCAAGTTTGGAGGAAGGCGCGCGTGTTCACATACAAAATATACATACATACATACATACATACATACCTACCTACCTACCTACCTACGTACGTACGTACATAGGGTTTAGGGTTCAGGATATATATGTATATATGGTACCCACCCCCCCCCTTCCTGAGCCCCACATCTGGCCATGTCACTCGGCTCCTTGATGATGCTTTTGCGGCTTGCAGGGCTTTTTGTATGCCATGGAATCAGTAGGTGGGTTTAGGGGTTTTTGGGTTTAGGGTTTAGTGGGCTGGGTAGTTGGTGGGTGGATATGCTGTCGGGACGCTGTCCGAAGCAAAGCCAACAACAAGTTCCCATATAGGTCCACAAAGATTTGTGGAGTTCTAGATTTCCAAGTTCCTAGATTTCCAATTTTCCAAATTTCCCAATTCCCAAATGTCGAGAACAAACAATTTCAGATTCCTCGGGTAGACCATTTCCAGATTTCCAAATTCCTGGACAATCTGGAACCGGCTTTCTTGAAGTCTGGAAATGCTGTAAGTCTGGAAACCGCGAAATCTGCATCCTCCATTCTCTTCTGGAATTTGGAAACGTTCTACTCGGAAAATCTGGGAAAATTTTTGACACCACACACACCTCCCCAAGAAATAGAAATGTCTAGAAGTCTGGAGGTCTAGAATGGAAATCTTAAAATCTTAGAAAGCTGGAAATCTAGGAACTAGAAACCAGGAAACCTCAAAATCTGAGAATCTGGAAAGGTTAAAGCCTGGAAGTCGAGAAAGTGCAAAACTTGGGCCCTGGAATTCTAAAAGCTCGGAAGACACTGTCTAGTTTGAAAAGAGAAGTGGTTTCGGGCACTTTATATTCGGCCTACAAAGGGATGTTGGGCTTTGGCAACTTTATATAGGGTCGACAAAGGGATATTGACAATGAGCTTATGGCCAGTAATGAAGCCACGCCCAAACTGAAAAACCGTGTGTGTGCGGCCTCTTGGACAAGTATGGAGATTTGGGAAAAATGGAAATCTAAGAACCGGGTTATGTTGAACGCTAATCATTGTTGGTGCCGAATTTCGCCCTTGCGACGCAACCTCGCGTATGCTTCTTAAAGCCATCTGATGCTTGAACTTTTCAAGCGAATACATTCTGGACCGCACTCTAAAACAAAGACCCAAATCCTGACCTCGCACCGAAAACATTTGTATTTGTCAGTCAATGATGCAAGTGCACGACCGAACTCATCATGCAGGAGGATATGTAGTTTTTTTAAGCTGATCCAGGATTAAAGCCAACCCTGGACGAAGCCTTGCGAAACGATTTCGCCAGAAGCGACGCTTGTTGAAGTCAGCAATGCGGCTGCTCTCACCACCCTTAGAAATGCTACGATGCTGCAAAGAGACTCAATTCTGAACACGGGTCAGTATGCGATGCAACCTCAACCGTGATGAGTGGTGCTGCGCAGGATCTTGGAATTCGGCTCGAATGGGGACAGCATTCAGATGGCCAACAAGGTTTCACACTACAACTCGGCCCCGTACGTGTTTCCTCTAACTGAGAGTATCAAGCTTCTCATTTTTAGGAGCCAATTGAGAAGACATACTGCTAAGCAAGTGTTAATGTGGCCGAAGCTCTGCCACCAGATCCTTCGCATAGCCCAGGGTCATGACGAAGCCAGAGAGCAGGTAGAAGAAGCCTCACTTGCTCTTGTTTTCCCAAAGCCCTTCAATGACTGGAACGAAAAGGAGGTTTTGACGTGTGAAGCCCTTGGTCTCAGACTATAGTGTGAGGGACCATAGTGGAGAATTGCTGGAACGTCGAAGCTGTCATGGTGATCATTACTGGTAGCCGTCTGTTTCTAGGCTTTGCTATAATTATAGCCTTCCCAGATTGCGACAGACAGTCAGGTGATAGCAAATAGTATGCAACTTTTGGTAGAGTGTTGCAGGCATTGCGGATACAATGGAGCTGCGGGGCTTCTGCACTTGTAGGCCCATGATACGGCTGCACAGCAGTACTTTAAAGGCGACTACCCAAGTACACGTTACAAATAATACTATTTAACAATAGTAACACTAGTAACAGGAATTATAGCAATAATACTAATGACGAATAATAAGGACAAAGGTTGTAGACTTCAGTTTTGAGATTGTTTGGTCAAGGCTGATATGGTTTCTCCTGGCGCGGCTTGGCTTCCAGTGACGGCTGCGGAGCGATTCTGAGTAAAAAGCAATAATGATAAGCAATCAAAACCAAATGTGGCAACCGTCTTCAGCACCAAATGCCATAGCCGCCCCCATGAGAACAGAGGTTTCAGGCTAGCGGCTCATGGACGCACCACCAATGAGGTCCACATGAAGCCTTCATCAGGTTCAAATGTAAAGGTGTGTGCGTCTGTGTGTCAAAAGCCCAAGCTTTGGGGTTAAAGCTCTGAATCTTTTTCTGTGGGGAAACAGACCGGTGTGGCTACTCTTTGCAAAGTTGCTCAATAGGCTTTGGTTGAAGGTTGAAAGCAAGGTAAGTCTGGGCTCTCAGAATCATGAGCCTCTTAGGTCGGATGTTGTGATAACGCATCCTTGCTCCCAACCAGCTCTGCGAAAGTCATGGGACTGGTTTCTGAAAGACATCTCCGAACAAAGGACAAGGGCAAACTTGATCAGACACCTAACCTATGCCTGCTGAAGATTCCACGCCCATTGGTCACTGAACTGTAACCCAGAAAATTTACTGCAACTGCTACGGGCTCTAGGCTAGAGCTGTTCTTTGACCTTGACACTGCCTACCAACTTTAACCGTCTCCATTCTTCTTGACGCCCAGAGTCTGTGAAGATGCAATGTAGTGACCAAATGCCACGTGCCTTGGTGATAGCCACAAAATTGCTGGGCTGCTGTTACGATACGTAAACTAAGCTACCATAATGGTTGTATACAATGCTCATTGACAGCAACCGGATTACTTCAAATTTCAACTGGTTGGCAAACAAAGTCAAGAACAGGTATCAGTTCTGCTCGCACGGGGCTCGGGGATGTCAGCATTTGCAGTCTTGTGTGTGTGCTGTGAGTTTGATAGTTAGGCTGCCATGTTTGTTGCTTCAGCTGCGTGTCCTAACCGTTTTTGCAATCACTTCACAGACAAACCCTCTTGCAATCAAGATCAGCAAAGTAGCCATCCGTGGTCTGCATAAGGGTTCGAAGCACGAAAAAAAACCATAATGACATCTGCCTTTGAGCATTCTCGCGCATTAAACACAGCATAAACGGTCGAGGGCGGCAACAGCAGAACACGGCTTTTGTGCCAACAGCCAGAAAGATTTTCTCAAAGACGAGGCCTTTGACATTTTCCTCCGGTGCTGGATACTTCTACAAAACCGCATGAAGATAGCAAATCTACGAACTTGGTGCGATAAGACAGAAGCGCTCCATAGCTGACACGACTCAAGCCTACTGCCACCTGCATAAGCCGTGCAATGGTTCAAAATGAGGCCATCTTTCATGTTCAAGCCGACGTGCCAGGGCCTGAAGCCTACGTAATGCGGAACCCCATCCGGGTTGCAATGCTGCTAGACCTCGAAGCCCTGTAAGCGCCAGGGTGTCCACGCGTTCCCCAACCTGAAATGAAGGAGTTTCTTGTTACAGAGATACTTTAGGGACCCCAAAAGTTCATAGGTTGCAGAAGTGAAGGACGTTGATGTTTTTTTTGAGGATTGTACAGGGCTTACTTCGAGAAACTCAATGTGGGCTGCATCATAGCGATCAGGTCCCCTAAACGCTGCAGGAATATCCAATAGTATGGTGGTTTTCAAAAGTTCTGGTTCCATTTCCGAAAACTTACAGTTTTGGGGAGACTACCACTTGGTGTGGGGGCACCTCCACGAATGTTTTAGCGCAAAGCTCAAATTTGTGCTGGAGTCCGCCTCATGATGTACGCATTCGAGGAGTGACCTTCCGAGCATCATCATGATTATTCAATTCACCAAACCTTTTCAGCCAAGCTTTATGTGTCGGGGGTCGATTTTCAACCCCTTCCTCTAAAAGCGCGACTGTCCGCCACCGACAGCCATCTCAATTAGTTGGAAACCTTCATGGTCTGGCTTTTGGCTGCCGGAACATGACTGCTGGAGTGGGTGAGACTGCCATGCCAACAGGTGCTTGGCTGACTGCAATGACGTTATTTTGTCAATGGAGGAGATCTTGCGCTGTTTGGGGCACTTTTCAAAGGATCTACGAGACACTTTAGATAGCGCCAACATGTCCACCACCGGCAAAAGGTTGGTGGACAAGCCCTGCATGACCCTAGAAGATTGGAAAATCTGGTAATATATTGTGGGTCATGCAGGATCTTGTCCATCAACTGCATTAGAACTAGTCTGAGTCACTAGGCACCTCGCATGGAGGTGCCTCTCAAGCAGGTAGATCCCATCACACAGGTGATCTTCCTGCAGATCATCATGGACCTCCAGGCTTTTGCAATCTCTGGCATAAGCAGGAAGGCGACCGGCTGGGTAGTGCACCATAGACGACCACCTCCAGTCGCTGTTCCAGAGGCTGCAGCATTCGCTGCATGTGTTGCCACAACAACAGTGGGTTGGTTCCGGCACTCTGGCCCAAACCAGCCTCGTGGCCTCTGCACAACCCTGCACCATGCAGTAAATCAATGGCGGGGGTTCGGACGGGTCATCCTTCGCATGGTGCGGCCACCGTCCCTCCTTAACATTTTGCTCAGAGGCCTCCTCTGCCTCCGTCTCGGAAAGCAACGTCATATCTGGCGGGATGCTCTTCGAGCGTGTTCTCTCGACAGCTTCAGGCTTGAATTCTAAAAATGTTTTCGATTTGACCAACTGGAAAGCCGTGTTGCAGTCGTCCTCTTCTGCTGCCCCGGAGCGGGCTTCTCCAGCCTCCTCTCTGTTGTTCGGCTCTCTCACGAGTTCTTCTTGGCATTCTTCATCCAGTTTCTGAGCACACGGCAGTGTGCTGCGCGCAGGCTCTGGCTCTGGATTCGCAGCTGCCGTGTCTCCACCATCAAGGCGTTTCGGCCGCGGACCGCAGCAACCGAGGTGCGCGCAAGATGCGCCCATCGGATGGCTCCACCCCTAAAGGCTACCTTAACTGACTGCTAGATGCTGTGCTGATGCAAGCGCTTTATTCGTGGTGCCCATGGCTGCGAGAAACCTCTATATTTCATGTCAACAACGGCCTATGGACTGATTTGGATGTGCTACTGTGCTTGCCTTGAAATTTCTGAGGGCAACTTCTGAGCCCTGTCCAAAAAACTGTAAGGGAAATCCTGGAAGAGTACCTATAGCAGTAAAAATCGGCCCGCGAAGGGGCGCTCAAATGCAAGCTCAGCTCATATGCGCAAATTCTTACCCAACTCGAATAACACATCCGCTGTACCCCGAATCCCAGGCAGGAAGGTGGATTGCAGCACAACGATGCTCAGGCCCTTCCTCTTACAGTTCAATTGAACAAATGACGTCTAAGAGTTTCTAATTGACACATGCAAGCCTAATTCGTGCTGCAAAGTACGACACTGCAACCCTGGCCCCACCCCGCCTTCGGGTTGGGAGCCAGCTGAGCAGTTGCAGAGTCAGCTGCCGGGGCCTGCAAGGCAAGCGCCGACTTGATGAGAGCTTCGGCTGATGGAGGCAAATTCGCACCACCATGGATCTTCAAACCGCTAAAACTTCCAGGCTTCAAGGGACCCAGGGTGGGGCAAGATTGCTCCTACACCAAATCAAAATGCAATCACTTGGCAGGTCGGAAGCGTCGATGTCTGGAAGGCTGGTGCGAAGGTTCCCAAGGGGGGAGGGGGGGGGCAAACGCTGCTATGTGACTTCCGCAACCACCTCAAAAATGTCCACTTCGGAAGCATCAAAATTCAAGAGCATGCCGCTGTTGAGGCAAGCCAGCAGCCATCTTCTGAGCGGCTCATATTTACAACTGCAATTGTCGCCCTGCGCGACATCCACTGCAAGGAGTCATTTCAACAGCGTGACTCCAAAGTTTCTCTACTTGGCCGAAAAGCTTCGCAAACCTCAAAACACTCGTGCTGCCTTTGTGGAGTTTACCTCGGGCTGAACAAACGACTAGATGCAAGACCCGAGGGGGCCCCTTGGGCAATTTCAACTTTCACCAAGCCATGCGAGGGAAGCTGAGGTACCTCAAAGCTTAGAAGCCCAAGGGTGGGCTGCAAGCCCTAACCTGCTGGAACCACCGAAAAAGGATGACCTTTTTCAAACTGAGGGCCCCCCCAACATCGAACGCCTTCGAAATCCCCGCGTACTGCTAGGCCGCAGCACTCATCATCAGAATCCGTAGGCGGGTGTCAGATAGGAATTGCAAACGCAATGCGGCCTACCCACTAATAGCATGCCTGCAAGTGCTCTTCCCCCTCCTCATGCTCCTGCTTTGTGGGTTTGATCCGGGTAGGCACCAACCCAAATCTAAGCTCTCAGCTGAGCCGCATGCATAATCACGGGAAGTGTGTGTCCACAAGCCCTCAAAATTGCTGCAAGAGTGACAGCCTTGAAGCCTTCTGCTCGACGACGCAGCATTCATTCACCACCGAACTTACATAAGCACGAAGTATGCGACAATAGTCAGCATCCTCGCTACCCAGCAAACCCTGAGGCACCTCAACCGGTGCCGCTCTTTGTGAGCCGCGTCGGGGGCAGCAGAAAATGAGGTTGGCCGCCGCCGTGACAAGAAGCACAGCTACCTAAGCAATTGCCGTGATTTTGGTGATTGGCTTCTCAGGAGTTCTCAGAAATGCTGAAGGATTTATTAGCATGTTGGTCAAAGAGGACCAGGAGGAGAACGCTGGCCTCCCAGGAAATGTGGGGATCCTATAGAAAGTACACTTTTGCTTTGCAGCATCATTTCAACTCGGGAAGTCTCACCAGATCAAGCATACACTCCTCCACTTGGCAGCATCTCGCAACTGCCTCGCATTCTGTAGCGACGGGTTGTGTACTAGGTTTAAGCCACCGTTGCAAGGACAATACCGCCGGATGGCCACTGACAACACTTTTCGTTATTGGTTTGGCGCGAGTGGCTCTTGGTGTCTGAGATGTTGTCGACTCCTGTTTTGGTTCGTTTCTTGCCTCTAAAGAAGCTCTGATTTTGACAAACTGATGCGAGTGCGTGGGGCATCGTGGGGCCGTACTCTGCAAGAGATTGATTGCGCAGCCCACCGGTACTTGCTGGAAACGAACGTCCTTCCTTACACACTTGTAAGACTTTGCTAGACAAGCAGTTCACAGGGAATATGTGTAATCCGCGGCGTGATGGTGGCGATGATGATGATGATGATGATGATGATGATGATGAT